GCTGGAAACGGCCAAGAGGGTAACGCAGAGGGAAGAGCAGAAAACTCTTCGTTTGGTCAGCCGATGGGAGTTTGCACTGACAATTGCAATGTCTTGTCACTGACCCTCAGACAGGATGCCTCAAAATTCTGACTACAATTACCGGTACAGTCACCTATCTGAAAACCTTGGCAAATTGTTCCGCGCATTTTCAGTTTATCTGAAACATCAGACAGTTCCACGCCTATCAATAGCTGAAGCTCTGCAAGAAGTCGGTGATCTCAGACGATTGACTCCCAGAAAGCCACAAACGGCCCTGTCCCTGTCCCTATCTCGAACCTGTCGCTTAAGTCCGTACAAATTATCTACAATCAACTTAATCGGCTGGATGATAAATTGAAGTCTACCAACAAAGGCATCCACGTTGATCTTCATGCTTGTCTGACAATCCAAGTGGAAAATCTGCATGCTGTTGGTCATTTCAAGGATCAATGCCCCACATCTCTTAACTACTCCCGCAATCTGGGAAACACTGTTTACGAAAGCATCAAAAGGATGACAAGCTGGACAGCCTATTATTTACTCACCCAACATTCTACTATCCAATTCCAGACAGTTCAATTCCACTGAAAGACATTTCCAAACGTTCGCATCTTGGCAAAACGAGGCACTTAAATTCTACCCAAGAGCAGATCATGAGAGAATGGGCAGTTCAGAATGGCAAATGCGTTCGACAGAGAACTGTGAGGCAAGAAACAACGAAGTTCTAGGCTGGCACTTTGCCTTTGAATATGTATCGTCCAGCAGATTCTGCTTACCCAAAGGGCAAGATCCACCTTGAACCTCCTGCACAGTATCAGCAAGCTTTTCCACCAATCGTCGACGAACAAGAAGAACAAGAGCAAGAAGTCACCTTCGCTCATCCTGAAGTGTCTGAAGCCCCCGAAGTAGCAGAAGATGATGCGCAGTATGACACATACAGTGGGCCTGACGATGCCGTGGAAAGTGACAACAACGGCGATACTCTGACCTTCTTAAGAGCCGTAACAACTCGCAGTGGAAGAGCTGTCCAAGTCTGATATTTCTCTTAACATGTCTCTTAAAGTAAAACCAACAAATTAAGATTTCAAATATCACCTTTCCAACAGCTGTAAATTATTGGTAAAGTTAAAGAATGCACTTTTTTGTACAAATTTTGATTACAGTTTCGTGCACATGTTCGAGAATCGTGAAAAGGGAATTTTTTGTTTCGTGATTCTTGAAATCGAAAATTTAATATCGTGACTTCGTGACAAGACCCCCCCCTTGCCCCCCTCTTTGTACGTTTTGCAATACTGGTGTGGAAACAATTGATCATTTATTCTTTTACTGTGTTTACTCACGTGCATTTTGGGAAGAATTTGAATCTTACTGGTTCGCTATAAGACACTGCTATAGCCAAAGAACAAAGGAGAATCGAGTTAAAGACTATTTAGTTGGTGTCACAGATACTAAATGTTCTCTGTTTAACTACTTCATCGTTTTAGGTAAGCTACATTTATAGAACTGCCGTAGGAATAATAGTCGTCCTTTTTTCTCTTCCTATCAGGAATTAGTTAAAAGAAAATATGAAACTGAACGTCACATTGCTGCCAAGTACAATAATAGCAAGATGCTAGAGGCTAAGTGGAAACCCGTTCTGTAATGTAATTCACTAGGTACATAGGTGTGTAATCGAAAAAAGAAAAAGAAAAAAAAAAACAAACTGCAAAAGTAGTGTAATAACTGTACTCTAAGGAAGTATTGTATAGTAAGTGGTATAAGTAACTTATCGTTAGTGGTATTGTAAGTAGTGTCTGTCTTGTGTCTGTTAGTAGTGTCCTCTGTGATGCAATAAAAAAAATTCCAAAATATTTTAGGGTTTCCTTTAAATAGCCTTCAATTTTAACGAGATAATCGCGATGTTTATGTCGGACAGGTTTCTTGATTCCATTGCTTATTGAAAGTGTCCCTTCACTGGGACACATTCAGCAACTGTTGCTAGGAAAAATCTTTCCACTGAGACCAATACATGTCAAAATCGTCGGAGACGGAGTGTTACACATCAGGGGGTAATAGCTATAGTCGACTCCGCAGAACGTCAAAATCTGCCCTTTTGTAGTCGTACGTTTTACGTTGCTCACGCTTTGATCGCTCGAATTTCATTCAAATAAAAAAGTCCACCAAATAATGATCAGATGGGAAATCATTTTGCGGGGTAGCACATGTAGTAGTGGAAACATGGTCTATAACTTCGGAGAAGTTACATAAAAGAAGATCAAGTTTGTTTTCGGCAATATGCGTTGGACCTTTGATAAACTGACGGAGAAAATTATCATCCATAAGGACAGAGAAAGCTTCCTCTTCTACTGGTCCACCTATGGTAATTGAGGTAGACTCGTCCAGCAAACATTTGGTTAATGGATGATTGAAATCTCCAACTAAGACCATACAGGCCGTTTCGGGATTTTGTTGAAGAGAGTGGTTCAGAAGATTTAGGCCATCAGGACCAGGATCTGGATGATAAAATGTGTAGAGGATAACTGGATTACAGCTATCTCTAAACAGTTCAAGAGCTACTAATTCGACTTGATCTCTTTCGAGGTGAAAACGGCGGTTAGACTGGATGTCATGTTTAACAGCATTCAGCACTCCGCCTCCAGGCCTTTCTGATCTGTCCTTAAGATAGATGTTATACCCAGTAGTAATTCAGATGATAGCACTGTTTCTGGTCCAGAGGAATCCGGCCGCATTGTGGTTCATGAAAACATGCACTTTTCCAATGGAAATTACGAAACAAGGAGCTCAAAGCTTGCGGGTAAAAACGCAAAATGCTGAGTTGTATTCGGGAAGGAGCTACAGCTACAGTTAACGGCTTGCAGCCGCTTGCAGCAAGATTGTCCGAACTAGCGTGAAAGTTGCAAAGACTAGACTGCCCCCACTGGTTCCAACCCGAGTAAAAGAGAGAATATCAGATTAAGCTTTCAACTGATCGCTCGTCGGGTGAGCGTTGATACGAAATTGTTGAGGTCCACTTCACTGATATGACCGGAGAGTAAGTAAGCAAACGAGCGTCACTACACTGCATGTAAGTGTACTTGTCTGTACATTTTTACAAAAATACAGCTTCTTGTCATAAACAGAGACAGCTCAATTGGTGCTTTCTGTCGTTGTTTTACTTCATAAGTTTTTAAAGTTATGAAGTATTTATGCAGAAATTAAAATTTCTGCCTTCGTAACGAATTATAATGTCTTTTATCGAAGCATTCGCTAGGTTGAGAATTTGCTTACTTCGCTACGCGTTTTGTCGGGATCAGCAAAACTTGTTATTTTAGTACAGTTTTAACACTACTGTTGTTAACAACTGTCTCCACGCGGCCATATTTTCTTCAGATAAATAGCTCGGCTCCATTGGGTTTGTCTGACTCACAGGGGATGTTTAATTTGGGTCAAATTTGTTAAAATTCCGAAGCAAAAATTTGAAAGCCAGCTCATCAACCCATGCATCTCTTCTCTGATCAAGCACGCTGTTTCAGCCAATCAGAGCGCGCGTTATAAGGAAAATTTATTATAATTTGATGTATTTTGCTTAGTTTTTCTTTTTTGTTGCACGGTTGACTTTTTTTACATCCTACATTTTACATGTCATTTGATCGTCAGTTTGCGTGTCTAGAACATGATTAATTCCACGGCACTGGAAAACCTCTCCCGTTTCAGTTAAGAAGTGTTTGCCGTCTTTTCTGGTGCTCTAACACACGGGCGCACAACTGTTTGTTTATGATAAATTAAACTTTCAAAGTTCGACTTACCTTTGTAAGTGAGTTAGAAAAACCAATACATAATATTCAATTCGTTGTGGGTTTTGCTAACTCAAATGGAAAAAGATCACAAAAGAACGCTTGGGAACTAAGAAGCTGCACCAAGTGGTTACGATCGGCTTCACTTCTTTTCGGAGAAGATTTAACTTTCTTTTGTTTCGTCACAAAACCTCGTTATCATATCATGCGTGATTACGAGATTTAAAAGTCGCGCGCGCGCATTGAAGTCTTTCTGCCCTCATTCAGTCAAGTTCCTGAAAACCTGCCTAATGTCCTAGAGAGCAAGGACTACGGCCACTGCAGATCTCTTTCTGGGTGTGAAGACCTATTCGTTTATTTCAGAAAATGTCTCCCCTCGTCATCAGGACCTGGATCCTTGATTGAAGCTTGGTGCGCGTGGAGTTATGGGCCTATTGCACTCGCCTTGCATACGGTGGCTGCGCCCGCGCGCACAGTACGAACGGCAATAAAAGTCGAGCTGTCTTCTCTTAACGACGCTATAATAGTCTTTTTCTTCGCAGCTAACAAAAATAAAGATAATGGTAAAGTTGCTTCGGCCTGTTGTTAAACTTAAATGGGGTATTCTCGGTTTCATTTGACGAGGAAAAAGATTTTGTTTCCTACCTTACGACACCGACGAGTGACGAGCGAGTTGCCAGACGCGGACGAGAAATCTTCGTAAACTTATAAGCTTGGGAGCACACTGAATGTTTCATATTATTAACTTTTTACAGTCCGTGTTGGGGATTTGAATTATAAGTTCATTTTTGAGAACATTCAATGCAGTTGTGTCTTGTAAGAAAAGCTGCCCCACTGCAATGCCCTTTCTGTTGACACACATTAGGCGTCAGGACAGTACAGTTTTTCCCTCCTGCTGAATCCGGATTGGTCAATTTACATTTCAAGCGCACCGAACGTATGCAAGGTCCGCGTTTCTACACCTAACCATGCCCTTGTCTTTCCTTTTCCTGCCCTTCGCTGAGAAGTAAGGTAGGAAAATGTTCATTTCAAACTTTTGACGATATCCAACAGAAGATCAAAGTTAATGTTTTGTATTAGTGGCTCTTCCAAGCCAATTCAAATACGAGAAGACGCTTTGTAATGTATTGTTGAATTACTCAATCTGTGAGGAAGCACAATTTTAGAAATACCATTGATGACGCTGATCATAATTATCGTTCCTATAGCACCGACGAATCTCTAAACCATGCCAACCTGAGAATAATAGCAAGGAAAACAATAATATAAAGTAAGGCATCGAATGCATGCTAAAAATTGGGCGTAACATTGTTCGCAAAGCCCTAGGTCGGACACGCTGAAATATTTGCCACAATTTTGCCGACGAGGCATGTAAGTATTGATGTTAATAATTACATCATCAAAACTATCACAGCAGCCGTATCAAGGAACAAGGAAAACAAGCCAAAGTCGTTTGTTACTTTTGCTCTCAAAGGAGAAATCAAAGACTTAAACAGATTGTCGTGTGAAGGTTAGAGTCTTACAGCCAGAAGGTACACAATAAACTGTTAGCTACGCCTCACCACTGAGCGCAGTTTCGTAGACGGTGGACATAAGTTGAAATTACCACTCTCTGCAATGTTGCCGAAGCAGAAGGCGACTCTGCTTTCGAAACTCTAGATGAAATGTTGCGTGTAACAATTTTAGGGGTGGTCAGACTTGCCCTCAGACTTGCCCACAGACATTGTCCACGGCGACACACCGTGCATCCGGGACTTCACAGACACTTTGAGAGCTCTTTGACAAAGATGAAGGCATCTGACACAATCAAACAACACGTTCGCGATGCGTCAAATTGAGCACAATTTTCTCAATTTCCACTTAAGCGTTAGCTTTGATTGCGTTATTGCCCACCAGTTTTTAATCCGGTTCCAAGTCTTTTATTGCGCGTTCGCTGCCGAAATCGTAAAAGCAAAGATGACGTATGAAAGAGCGACTTCAAGCTGTCTTTGCTTCATCGCTTGTTGCAGAATTTTTGGTAAATGTTTCAATTTTTGTCTTCGTCCTCTTTTTCAGAATGGTAGAACTGCTGTTATTGTTCGGAATAATGGCGGACGCTGATACGTTTGTTTTTTTGAGCGACGACTAAGTAATTGTAAAAGGTGTTCAGAAAATTCTCGAAACGTGACAGAAAAGAGCAAAATAATCATTAAATACTTCGTGCTTTGTCTGCGAAATGACTGAGAAACGGATACAAATACAAGCCCCCATCCATCACAGCTTTTATCCAATGCATCGACCACTGTCTGCAAAAAAGTAGTTATGGATTCTACGCAATTGTGAGTACTTAAAAGAAGCTAAGTTGAGCTTTATTTTGCTTAATTGCAGTTGTAGAGTGCCGATTGAACCATTATTTTTGGTATCCCAAAACAGTTTCCACACGTATCTCCACGATTTATTTTTGTTTTTAATAATAATAGTAATAATAATAATGATAATGATAATGATAATAATAATTATTATATGGCTGTGGCTCACAAGGACTGGGAACTACGGAATTCACGAATTTGATTGGCTGAGATCGATATTGACCGCGGTCTAGATTTTCCTATCTAGACCGCCATCTAAACCGGTTTCATTTTGCGTGGAAAAAGTAGTAAACTAAAATACAAAAATGTTCAGCGTTTTCTTTTATTTTCTTCTGAATCATTTATGGAAGTGCCAAAAAGTCTGATGACAAAAAAAAAGTAAAGAGGACGAGCAAATTTCGGCAGGTTTAAGTTAAGCTCATCGTCGTACGCAAGCAGAATGTCAGCAAACCAGTTACATTAAACGAATTAAAGTTTTCTTCTTTGCCATATAATAAACATCTTATTAACCGAGCTAAGTCGGTGTGTATGGGAGAATCTTGACCTCGGTCGTGTGTACAGACCTCACTG